GAGTGAGAGAACAACGCACACACTTGATCCTGAAGCTCCGCACTGGCTGAACTGTACTGGCGGCGGAGTATATCAGCTGCTGTGCGGGCAGCCGTGGCAGCTCCACTACGCCGGGCGACGATCTGTCTCAGGCGGGCACGATCCTGTACCCTAGTAGCAGGCAGAGCGCTTGGCACTATGGCCTGGCTCGTGAGTGGTACAATCTGAACAAAGTGGTACTCCCTCAGAGGTGATAAACCACTATTCAGAGTGCAAGAGGCTTCCTCACCAAGGTCTCTCTATGACTGTAATTGGGGGTGTTTGAGGAGTGGTGCCTTCAAAAGGACACATCTCTTTCAATGTCCTGTCGGGGTGATTTTTATCATTTTACAGACCTAATTGATAAACCACAGAGCTTTCTCTACGAGGTCAAAGTGGTACTTGCTGCTATTGGCTGCATGCCATGTGGGCTTTGAGGGAAGAGAGGCTAGCAACATCCTTTGGGTCTGCCGTTTTATGAAAGGGGCTCGCAGGCTCCTCCCTGTTCTCCAGGGTCCTGGTGCCCTTATGGGACTTGGCAGTGGTTTTAGATGGGCTCCCTCTACCTCCATTTGAACCCATTGGAGGAGCTGACATGAAACACCTGTCCTGAGACAGTGCTGTTACTGCTCTGGCTTTGCCAAGCGACGTCGTGAACATTCATGCGCTTCTGATATCCTTCATGCCTCAGTTGCCCCGGGTCAAACGAGAGTGTTGCTGAAGCCCAACCCTGCTTTAATACCTAAGGTGTTGGCGCTCATGTACCGCATTGACATTGTGGCATTTCCTCCGCCCCTGTGTTCCTCTGAGGAACAGCGGCCGAATTTGCTGTGTCCAGTCCGTGCTTTACGCACCTATATGGACAGGTCAAAAGAGTTTTGTTGCAATGACCAACTCTTTATATCCTGGGCTAACCCTCAGAAGGGCAAGCCCGTTACCAGGCAACGGCTCTCCCACTGGATTGTGGAAGCGATTGCTCTGGCTTATACGAGTCAGGGTTTGCAGGCACTAACGGGCCTGCGTGCTCATTCTACTCGTGGACTGGCTACATCCTGGGCTTTGTTCAAGGGTGTTTCCATCCAAGACATTTGTGCAGCAGCAAGCTGGTCCTCACCGCTCACTTTTGTCCGCTTTTACAGGCTAGATGTCTCTGCTCCAAGTGTGGCCCGCGCAGTGCTGGGCCCCGTGTTGAGACAGGGTTCTACCTGTTAAGTTCTGGTTGTTTTGGTGATTTTTGAGATAAGCATGTCTAGCAATACGGGAGTTTCAATATCCCATAGTGAGACATCGAACGGAGTGTTATGAATGAGAACTATAGGTTACTTACGTAACCCCAGTTCTCAGAGTAACATGAAGTGAGATGTCTCACCAGACGGCCCTTCTTGCTAAGGCAAAGCGAGAAGAGGTGCTTATTTTGAATGACGCTGCGTCGTAGCGCAACCTACTTATAGGGTGGGTGGATTCCCTGACGTAGACGTCAAGATCACCAGCCAATCAGGATTGGCGTAATGAGATTGATGCTTCTGTTTGCATACACGTTGAGGCGCATCCCATAGTGAGACATCTCACTTCATGTTACTCTGAGAACTGGGGTTACGTAAGTAACCTATAGTTTCCAGTTTTTATGCTAAGCTAAGCTAAAAGGTTTGACCCTTGCCTAATGTTGAATGGACATATTGATATCAAACTTTTTGGAAGAGAGCAAACAAGCACATTTTGCAACGTTGAACCCCTCCTTTTCAATTTATTCATTCAATAATTGAGCTGAAAGGTTCCTATTAGAGACAAATTAGCTTGTCAGTGCTCTGTGATGGGCAAAATATGAAATGCAGACTCATTCTAAAATAGTGTCATCCATGAATATTCAGCATTTCTGTACTGTACTGTTTCTTGCTATCCAACATTTACGCCTATACTGATATCCCAAAAATAACCTTTATCCGCCAGTAGGCTACATTGTTTTTAAAGGGGACATATCATGCTTATGTTTTAGTTTCATAATTGTATTTGGGTTTCAACTAGAACACTTTTTTTTTCTTCTGCATGCTGTCTGTTTGAATATGTATTCACCCTCGGTGTGAAACGCTCTGTTTTAGAGCCTGTCTCTTTAAGCTGATTGGCTCGCCAGAAAAACCTGCACACCTTTACATAAAGTATGTAGTTCCAAAGCCAGAGGTGAAGATGGATGTGTGACAGTATATATTCTAATATGCCTGCATGTAACATCAGAGGTGGAGCCAAACCTGAACGGCTTGTTAAATCCCATGTTTTATGATTTAGGATCCCACAAAAAAAACGACTGGGATGTCTTATTTTATAGTTTACTGGTTGGTTATCACTCCAGATACACAAATGTATGCGCTCAAGCACTGAAAAGGACGTTTTTCATAATATATCCCCTTTAAAAACGAATTGTACAGCTGCATCAGGGACTGTTTTTATTGTTTGAAATTAGTTTTGTAATGGTACTTGTCTAATCCATAGGTGCCCATAAGAACACATGCCCTCTAAATATTCCCAACTGCTATCAACACATGCATCACATTCACATGCTGACTCAACATCGCTGAAATATGATGCTCTCTCCGTCTCCCTCCCTCTCTTCCTCTCTCCCTCTCTCCCATCTTTGCAAGGCTGCAATAGAAATCCCTCCTCTGTATCTATGGGAATACAGGAGTGCTGTGTGTCCTCTACCCTCCCCTCTACTCACCACCTCCCTCTGCATATAAGGGAACGCTGGCTGCCCCCCCTCCCCTCCCCACGCCACCCCTTTCCTCTTAGACACACTTTCTATCTGACACACTCTCTCAGGACGCCCCTGTGAGCCGGCTAGGTAAAACTCGGCACTGGATGAGAGTGAGAGGAGAGAAAGAGAGGGAACGTGTGTTTATGTATGTGTGTGTGTGTGTGTGTGCTGCTGCATCGCTGAGCTACAGAGACCGGAGGCGAGGAGAGCGTTTGTCCTTGAGACTGACTGACTGACTGCAGCTGTAGAGCGGAGGACCAGCCGGTGGATGAAACTGACAGTAAGTGCAGTAAGATGAGCGGATGGTGAAGAAGTGAATGAATGCTTCTTTTAATTACAGCTAATGTGGTTTTCTTACTGTCTGCTTAGTAACAGTCCAGTGGAGTGTTTGAATGGAAACAGAGGTGTGTGTGTGTGTGTGTGTGTGTGTGTGTGTGTGTGTGTGTGTGTGTGTGTGTGTGTGTGTGTGTGTGTGTGTGTGTGTGTGTGTGTGTGTCCCCGACCAGGTGAAGGTCTACTGTGTTCCCAGGTGAACTCATCTCTCAGGCTTCTTATTGGCTCCCATCAATACTTACTGTTCAGTCTCTGTACGACTTTGTAATCAGTTCAGTTGCAGTTTGTCTACATCAGTGTTTGTCTGTCGTCAAGAAAGATGTCAGTAAACACAACATTACTGTACAGCTCCTCTTCTTCGCCGCTTCTGTTGATCGATCGTTATTAGTTCTGCATCTATAATTGGAAGTCATCATTTATGGAGACCCTCCAAAACGAGTCATTATCATGTGTAATCTTGCAGAAAATTACATTTTGACTGCTGTTCCTTCGCCATTGCCAGGAACCAGTGGACTGTGTTGAGCAGGGCTGAAGGATGACCAGAAGGTGGGCTTTACTGAGAAGAGGACCCCGAAAGCCTGGAGAAGGGTGGTGTCGGGTGGGGGGGTCATGAGGCAATTATGGGCCTGGCGTTACATTTTTGCCTGGAGTGTGGATATCCCAGCAGTGCCCTCATGGGTGCATCTGTATGATCAGATGATGGAGGACAGAGATGGTGGAGGATTAGAAGCAAGAAGGGAAGGATGTGATGGAATCAGAGGAAGATTATTGGTGGTGTCGTGGGGTGAGACTGGCTCACCTGTGGAGCTGCGGACAGAATGTGTTAGAGAGGCTGGCTCTAAATACAAAGGGAGATAGAAAGCCAGCAGGCGAAAAAACATAAAGCTGTGGTAGTCTTTTTTTTGTTACCTTCATGACAGGAAAGCTCTTTTATTCTCCATGTATGTCTGTGTTGATTTGTTTAGTGTAGACATGCTGACAGGGAGCCGGAGGGCTAAATTTGCCACCTGTGGAGATTAAAGTGATATGATAAGATAGACTGCCGGTTTGTGTGAGTGTGGTTATGTGAAAGTGCGTATAATAGTCCCTGACATCAGCAGTAGGTGTGTGATGCTGACTCCGAGGATTTTATGTGTGTGTTGGGCCCGCACCGGTGGCTCCTCACCTGAGACGGTTCTGGGAACCAGGTGTGTGTGTGTTTATAAATGGG